CCCTCCGTGTAAATGAGGATCCCTTGCGGTGGGATGTTTCCCGCACCCCTGGTATCTCTCGCCGGGAGTACCAGCCCTTATGCAGGCGTCGGCTGCCGCAAGGAGCGGAGGAGAAGCTGGGGCGTTGCTGTCTCCGCAAAAGAGCGAAAAGTGGTTAAAATTTAGTAAAATCGGCTGGGCAAAAATGAGCGGAAAGTTGCCACTGCCGGGGAGACAGCGAGAGCGAGAGGGATGAGTCTAATTGTCGCCTTTACCAAGGCTGTGAGATTAACTACTGGGATTTATTCTAAAGTGACCCATCACCGAATTCATTTCTGCTTGAACTTTCGGTGAACCTGAGATTAAAGAGGGGAGAGCAGCTAAGCAGTTTGTTGTTAGCTGCCTTTTCAACAGCCCTTTCAGACTGAGTAAATATTGATCGGTTTCAATCTGATTGCCCCAGAGGAAAACACCAAAGCATCTCAATAGCCTCCAAAAGTAAACTTTAAAGGTGAACAGCAGAAATGGCCCTAATTATGATAGGAAGATGCTAAACTCCGTTAAACATTTAGATGCGGTTTGGGTTGGAGTTTCTTGGTTTGGTTTGGGTTTTTTTCCTCTGCTGGGGGGGGGGGGGGGGGGGTTGGTTTTGTTTTTTTTTTTTTGTCCTGCTGAGAGTCCAGAGAGAAAAATTAAAATAAATTTGGAAAGGTATGAAAACAAAAAGATCCCTACGACCCGAAGGGTCTCCATCAGGCCAAAGCAAGCTGTGATTTATTTATTTATTTATTTATTTATTTAGCGATATCTTTGTGGTAGAAGCTCCAAGGTAGAGATTTTCATTTGTCTTTCCCACACTCCCCATCCCGAAAGACTGATCGTATCGAAATAATAATACTGCTAACAAAATTAGCCAGGATCGGGAAATTTGGGGTGACAGTTTGAAATCGATCTAGTACTGCGAAAAAAAAAAAAAAAAAAAAAGATAACCTGGGGTTTGGGCTTGGAAGGACAAGGGATTCTTTGCCGATGAATCGCTCACCGCAAGATTGACGCTCTGACAAGTGTCTTGTCTCTCGCATTTAGGTTATAATTTATGGCCGCTCTTTTTAACGCATTAAGTCAACACCAGGGGAGCCGGGTTGCAGATCCGGATTCCAGCAATATTTAGATCCAGATTTCGATATTTAAATACCCTTATTGGCATGTAAATGCCACTTTAACACATCCAAGTCTCTGGAAGAAAGCCATCTGTTTTGCTTTGTGGCTTTACACTAATAAACAAAAGGTAAAGTATATGGCAGTCGGGGAAATGAAAGAAATAGGGGCATCGGCTGGAGCCTTTGGAGACAGCCCTGCTCCTTTGCAGATAGCTCAGCTCTTGATATGGCCGCCGCGCCTTGCAAATCAGGGCTTGTCTCTTTTGACACTGAAGTGAAGAAAATTTCGTGGCCTCTCTGCGGATCCCGCAAAGCAAATCCTGCGTGTGCAGCTCGGCCCCGGGAGAAGCCAGGGAGCACCCATCCCTCCGCAGCTGGGCCAAGGGAAGGAGATGCTGCGCTTGTTTGCACTGAAATTCAAGAGGCATCAGTGAGTTGAGGGACATGCTCCCCGGCCAGCTGTGCATTTCTCTGGTCCCTCCTGCCACCTGCTTGCTCTCCACACATGCGCCCCCGACCCGACCCGGACCGCTCTCCACTTGACATCCCTTGGAAATCTAATTATATTTACCTGCTAAAACTTACTTTCACCACCCCCCCTCTCAACACACACACACAGAAAAAAAAAAAAAAAAAAAAGTGGTGGTGGTGAATAGGCCAGGATTAACAACACGGGCACCCAGCCAAGCACCTGGGAGACATCTCCCAGCTTGACACCCACCAGCCACCATGTTTGGGAGCTTAGGACAGAGCAGCAAGAAGGAGAAGCTGGATCAGCTCAGGGCCCAGGCTAATTGAATGTGCAGCCGTTGGTGAGGGCCCTTCGATGTGAGGAAAGACTGGCCGAAGACAGTTTCTGCTTTTGAAGGGTGCTCTGTTTACATAAGTGTCAGCATCCACCCCGAGGTGAAAAGGTTAGCACTTGACCCAGGAAGTTCTTGTGTTTGTGCTTCAGAAATAGAACAGGATCATAAATTCCTCCCAGTTATGGAGGAGGAGAGGAGGGCCTGATATTTCCTAAAAATATTGTTAATTGAGCATAGAAAAGGAAGAAGCTTTGTGTTATGAGTAAGGCTAGGCAGCCAGAGTTCTGGCCCTGGGAAAACAACTCATGAGGAGTTACACTGGGAGACTTTTCCTCCCTTTCCCTCTTGGAAAGGCCTCAGCAGTGGAAAATAAGGGAAACCAAAGTTGAGCCCATCCTGTGACTCAGCACTGACATCACACAGAGGTAGGCATACAAGGGCTACCTGAAAGTGGAATATATTTATTACAGACATTATAAGGACCCGTAAATCTTGCCCTGGCTTCCATCACTGGAGGAATCCCAGAGCCTTTCATGATTGTACAGAAAATGAGGAGGACATTTCGCTCACACACTACAACTGATAGAACTCAGTGTACCCGCAGTACAGCAAAGCACGGTGCATCATGCAATGGTCTGGACACCAACCACAGAAATTATACATTCATTTGGCCATTCGGCACATTCACAAGTAGGTTGAAAAGACATCGAGTCGAAAGTAAGGTTAGTAGGAAACTAGGAAGAGGTGAGGTCTTTTGGACAGTTATACCCTTTGGTTGAGCATAATCCAGCACAGCTTTGGGGAAGAGGGGGCAAGCACACTGGGTAAGGTTTACAAAACCTAGTGCAATTGAAGCCTTGTTTGTCACATTTAAAGAAATAGCGCTACTCTTTTTTGTCTTGAGGTATCTGCTTGAGCTTAAGACGTTTACTTGATACGGTCATCAGCTTTACCAATATAAAAGTGGATCCAGTTTGGCAAATGTGCTCACCCTGCTTAACCTGATAATCGAAACGTCATCTCTAGAAAAATCTGTAAAAAGATAAATCTCTCGGACAAAGTATTTACAAGCAACAAACTCATAGACACGAACAAAGAATACATTAAATTAAGGGGATGAAAGTCCTATTAGTCGTGTAAACACTTGCAATAGTGCATCTCTTCATGAGGTTATGTACCCTAGATAACCTGTCTGCCACTTCGGGAAACTCGGAGGACCGTCCCTGCAGTGGAGGAGGGAGACTCGTGTGCCAACACAGATCCTCCAGCAGAAAAAGTTTGGGACGGTTGCCGGGGTTGGGAGGAGAAAACCCCTGGCACCGAGGTGCCGGGAGCCGGCCGATGGGAGGCGAGAGGGCGGTGGAGCCGGTACCCCCGGGACTAGACGGCATGAGAAAGGGGAACTGGGTGGGGGAAGGGGGAGCCGGGACCTCTCAGGGAGAGCGACCGACCAAGGGACCAACCGGGAGACCGACATAACGGCGGTGAAAGGAAGCGAGCTGCGCTGGCGGGGCCCTCTCGTCAGGCGGCCGTCGGGGCTCGGCGGGTCTCAGTTGGAGCCAGCGAGTGTGTCCGAAGCGGCGGAGGAGGCAGGCGAGGCGGTGCAGGGCGAGGAGCAGGACTTCTCCGACGACTCCTCTGCCTTCTCCTCGCAGCCCGTGGGGGTGGCAGGGGAGATAGGCAGAAGCCCCTCTTTCTCCCTCTTCTTTTGCTTCATCCTCCGGTTCTGGAACCAGATCTTCACCTGTGTCTCGTTGAGCTGGAGGGAGGCAGCGATTTCTACCCGCCTGGCCCGGGTCAGGTACTTGTTGAAATGAAACTCTTTCTCCAGCTCAGTGAGCTGCTTGGTGGTGAAGTTAGTTCTGACTGTGTTGGGCTGCCCCACGAAGCCGTATTCGCCAGCTTTGCCTGCGAGGGGACATTCAACAGTAAGTAAGCGCGAATGATTTATAGGCGACGTAATCAATATGTCTACACCGGCTAAGTGATAGGGAGCAAGAACTTCTTAGGATAAGGGGGAAGCCCCGGCAGGGTGAGTGATGGAGTGCTAGGTGCTAAAGCGGAGTCAGCCTCTAGTGTCAGAGGAAACTTGATAAGTGGTTTATGAATTACAAGAAATATGACCGCGGGAGAGGCGGAGAGGGGGAGTCGGGAATAAGCGGCTCTGGCTGCCAGCGCCGTGGGCAGACAGCAGGGGCTGCTCCCAGAGGTGCGGGCCGCCCCACCTGTCCGGTACCCCGTGGGCACCGAGCCGTTTCCCCCGCACCCACGGCCGGGTGAGAGAGAGAAGGAGAGGAGCGGACCCCGCCCCGGCCCTCCAGCAGGCCACTGACCTGTTTTGGGTGGGTTTCTTTTCACTTTCATCCAGTCGAAGGTTTGCGCTGGTGGCAAGGTCTCAGCGGAGGGGGAGCGGGCGTTTTCCCGGTGGCCAGCGTGGAGGGGAGACAGGGCATGGTTGTAGGTGCCCAGGGACAGGCTCTGCTGCTCCTGCCCGTAGGGGGGAGGCACGTACTGAGCGGGCCCCCCGGCGTAGCCCTGGTGCGGGTGCTGCGCGGCAGCGGAGGACGAGGATATGCTCCCCGAGTACACTGCCGGGGCGCAGGGGGGGAAGCCGCCGCCCATCTCCGCGTCCTGCCCCAAGGGGTATGGGCCGTATGCCGGTCCGAAGCCCTGCGCGCCGTAGGTCGGGCCGCAGCCGGGGTGTGCGTAGGACACCCCCAGGCCGCCGTGGTGCTGGTAGGCGGCGGGCTGGGCCGAGGGGTGGTGGTGATGGTGGCGGTGGGGGCTGATGGGCACCCCGCGGCCCGTGAGGAAGCGGTCCTCCCCGCTGCAGCTGCCGGCGCTGACGGCGCAAGGCTGGAAAGTTGTAATTCCGTGGTCAGGGTGGTAGGCGCGGGCGGCGCAGCCCCCCGCCTCGCCACCGAGGACGGGGTACTCGAGGAAAGAGCTCATCCTCGCTGTGTCCCTCTGTCACGCCGCCACCGGGTCTTCAGCGTCCGGCGGGGCCGCGCCAACTTTCCCACTTCCTCCATGGGGCCGGCAGGAAAATGACACGAAGGTACAGGCAGCGGGCAGGCACGTGGGGGGCGGCAGCCAATGGCTGCGGCGCCTGCGGGACTTCCCCGGCTCCTGGCGCTGATAGATCGCCGCGTCGAGGGCATTTAAAAGCTGAGCGCTCCGGCGGCGCTGCACGGAACGGCACCGCGGGGCAGGGCGGTGGCGGCCACCCCCCGAGGGACAGAGGGGGGGCTGGGCTGTCGCCCCGCCACCACCGGGGTCCCGCCCGCCGGCTGAGAGGGGAAGGCAAGAGAGATGCGGAGGCTGCTCCCCGCCCGCGGAGCCCACCAGCCGTCCCCTCCAGGGTGAGTGCTGCTGTAGCCAGGGCGTCCCTGCACATCCCCTGCTGTGGGCGCTGTCATGCTGGCGCTGGGCACCTCCGCCGCACACACCCCCCCACCCCATCTCCCGGCCGGGGCCACGGGGGTGCGGGGGCTGTTGAATCCGCGGTACGCGCCGAGAGGCTGGGGAGGAGGGCGTCTGGGACAGCGCTGGGAGCATCAGCCCTGGAAACGAGGATGGGGATGGAACTGTGAATGGGGTGCGGAGAGCTATGGGAACGAAGAATGAGAAAGGAGATAGGGACGGGGTTGAAGATAAGGCGGAGAATAGGAATGGGACTGAGGATATGGATGGGGATTAGATGGGATTGGAGATGGGATGAGGACGGGACCGAGGGATGTCGCTGGTCCTGCCCCGCCGCAGTCCCAGCGCGACGCCAAACCAAGAGTTAAAGGGGCTTGTCCAGCCGCATCACCAGGCGGCCGCGGACATTAACATGGAAATGAGCCGCTTTTGGGACTGACGGCCATTGTGCTCTCCCGGGCCTACCGGCCTCTCCCTGGCTCGTATCCTTGCTCCCCCTGCACCCCTGCCGGGATCCCCGCACCAGCCCGGGGCTGGGGTAGGGGAGGAAGAGCAGGGGCAGGGGGACGGATGTTTGGGCGGGGGCCCGCGGCCTTCGCAGCCCATCTGCTGGGACCCCGCGGTGCCACTGCCACCCGCCCTTGGACCGGGAGGCGGGGAGGCTGCCCGGAGTGCCTCGGGTCGCAGCCCGGCTGCCCGGGAGGCGGCCCAGAGCAGGGGTAGAGGGGCGGCGGGAGGTGCAGGGCCCACCGCCCCGGCCCCTTTGTCCCTGCGCTCTGCCACCCCGTCCGGCATTGGCGGGAGGTGGCAGATGGCCAGTGGCAGAGGCGGCCCCTGGACCCTTGGGAACTGTGCTGAGCATGGACTCAAACCCATACCCCTCCCCATTCTCACGTTAAAAATTAAAGGGTCCGTGGGCAAAGAAGGAGGGAGAGAGGTGGGATGTATTCAGTTTACGTGTGCGGAAAAGGAAAGGGGAGGCATCCGTCCGTCCCGGCGCACCCAGCCTTCTACGGGGGGGGGAGGACGGCACCAACAGGCTTCAGAGAGGCGTCCTGCGAAACGTTACCCCCTGGGATGGATGGATGGATGGATGGATGGATGGATGGATGGATGGATGGATGGATGGATGGAAAATCATGTCCCATGCCACCAGCCCCAGGAGGGGCTGTCCCCTCTATTTCTGCAGGTGCATTTCCAGCCGGCTTCTACATCCTTCTGTTCTCACGCTCAGTTCTTGCTTGGTTTGAAATCCAAAAGGCTCTTCTACCCTGCCACCTCTCCCTGCTCACGAGCACATACACACAGACCCTCACGCTCCTCCCTCTCACATCGACTATAACATCCTCTCATAGGTGCAAAGCTCTCCTACCACCATTAGGTCAGCCATTACCCCATGCCACCTCCATGGCCTCTCTACTGCCAGGCAAAGTCAGCGAGCTCCTCTCTCCACCACGCATCTACCCGTATGCCCTCAGTATTTCTATTTGTTCTGATTTACTACACGAGCACAGATGGTTAAGAGCCTTCTGGAAAGGTTCAGTTTCTTAAACTCCAGAGGGTAGAGGACAAGAGCAATAACACTCCAGAGGCATTTATCTCATTATACTGCACCAATTTTGGCTATGGTTACAGCTATAAACACATTTATTTCATTCTTGTAAAGCAGTTGTGATAAATACTGCGTAAGGAGGAGAAAAAAGGCAGGCCACTGGGACTGTTTACTAATAAAAAGGCTGGTATCTTTTCAGTGCTTTTTCAGCCAGCCAAGGAAAATTATATTTTACTATAAATAGATACATTTTACCTGTAAATTCCTCCGAATTACAGCCCTTCTCCTACAGTGTCCAGCACTCTGAAATCCTTTTCCCTCTCCCTTTTTCGTGCCATTGTCTCTTTTGTTGCATTGTCTCTCTGACGGGGCTTTGGGGGTTTGCTGCCTGTACTGTGCATGGGGGCAACATCAGCTGCCCAGAAAGGGGGTGGTGCAGCCCGTTCCCCTTTGCCCGCCGGCTGCCCCGGCCCCTCCGCTCCCCTCTGCGGCTCTGCTCCACTTTTCCTGTCTCAGAACTGGGAGTGATTCCAGCGATTTAGGATTTTCCGTGAGATTGTGCCCCCGCTGTGGCTCCAGGGCTTACCGGGAGACTCGGAGGCGACTCCTGTTTTCTGAGTTCCCTATTTATTTAAACAGCGTTTGCGAGAAGTTTAGATCTCGTATCGCATTTTTTTTTTCTTCCCCCCCCCCTTTTTTTTTTCCCCCCTTAAGCATTGCCAGAATGCAGAACTCTGGGAACAAAAGAAACCCCAAGCCCGTACGTGCTCTTTGCTGTCCAATTTAGCCCAGTGGCAGAGGAGTTAAAATGCCGATGAGGCTGCTCGCTCTCCGCAGGGACAGGGCTAGAGCAGAGAGGAGAAGAAGCAGGGCCGAGGTTTCGCCGCGTCCACAGCTCAGCCAAGCTGTTGTTTTAAAAGAGCAATAAAAATGACTTATGACTAAACGCCTTCTCACTTAATGGTTTTAGACGGGGATCCCCAGCCCCGGCAAATACGTAAGAGGATTTTTATTTGTGCATGTGTTCCTGCAATTGATCTCTTTGATGACATTCTCATTCATAGAAAGAGTTTGATTTATGACTTTCGGAAGAACTGCGTTCAGCCCTTCCAGCTATAACCCACGCATTCCAGCTCCACAACGTGTTGTAAGGCTGGGAGAAGCACTCCTCGCACAGACGGACAGCAGAGCCTCGGCCACAAACCTCACTCGCCCGTGTAATGTAATCACACGCACTCACACACACACACACACACACAGGGAGACGCGATCGTACCCGCCCGGGGTCCCCCAGCCCTGGAGCGGCAGAGCCTCGTTGGCATCTGTTGCTCAGTTTTAGCCCGAAGGACGGGGCTCACCCTGCGTTTTGGAGTCCGCTGGCCGGGTGGCAGGCAATTTGTTGGAGGTTTCTGAAAGCCCATCTTTGCTGCCGCCAGCAGAGAGGGGGGAGCCCCGAAGAAATTGCAACTTTAAAGTCAGAGTTTCTCCTTTTCGTTATCAGTCCTTTGTCCCGCAAGAAGGTTTAAACAGAAAAAACGTATCTTCTGTTGTGTCCCTGCACTGCTCATCAAAAGGACGGCTGAAGGGGCTGATTCCTCCCTATGCTTTTTATCCTGTGTTTCTGCCACCCTTTTGATTTTACAGGCACTAACTTCTCAATTTCTTCTCCTTCTACGGCTGATTTCTTGGACCGCTCAACACGTGAGAAGTAACCAAGCCCCTTCTCTGTGAGGTCTGGTATTTTCTAAAATATGCTTCCTGAAACAGCTTGCTGGCTGCTAAACACTAATTTCTAGAAAAACAGGATTCCCCCTCCCCCCAAAAGAAATAAAAATGCTTTTCTTGTATGTAACAGGCTAGTTTCTGCAGGAGACGCTTATCCTACTGAGTCTCTCTTGTGTTTTCCCTGCAAGAGAAAGTGCTCGTTCATGCTTTTGTTACAGCTCAGCATTTCCAAGCTTTGTATCCTCACAGAGATAAGATGTTACATTTATACATTAAAAGGAAGAGGTTTCCATCAAAGCTGCGAATGATTTTAGTTTCTCTGGTTTCTTTTTGTTGCTTTGTTTTGTTTTGTTCTGTTCTTTATTCCGCGTGAAAACCCTTGCAATAAAGAATGTGAACCTATTTTCCCTCTCTAATAAATGTCCTAAATTGGCAAAAAGGGAGAGCTCCCAGTCAGAATGCTGAATTTTGATTATTAGTAAATTAATAATACAAGGGATGGGAAGGAATACCCGTCATGTTATCAGTCTTGAAAGGAGAGAGAGAAAGAAAGATGGAAGAGAAAGAAAAAAGAGGAAGCTCCTTGTAGCAAACAAGAATTTATTCTACCAAAAATACTTATGACAATGCATCCTAATGCAATACAAAAATAAAAAGAAAGTGAAGATACAATTCCTATACGATCACTTTCTTACAGACCTCATATATTGCTTTCATAGAAGGACCTAGAATGTGGCTAGGTTAGAAACGAACGCAACTAAAACTTTGTAAGAAACGGCAAAATGGCATAGCAGAGAGAGGTAAAAACCAGAAAATACTGACCAGAAAAAGGGAAGGGGGGAAATAAAATAAAATTAATTAACGGGGAGAAAGTAAAGAAGAAGAATAAGGAGGAGAAAGCAGGACCCTTGGAGAGGACGTCTTTAATTTCTCAGTAATTCAGATGTTGCAAGTCAATCGTAGTGAGTGTGTCTGTAAAAAAGTCAAAACTGTCAGCAGAAATATCTACGGGACTGTCTAGAGATCCTGGCAAACTGGGGGAAACTGCATCTGAAAGCTGTAGGCAGGAATCTGTGGAGAAAACGTTAAAGTCCTGTAAAGAAGTGACATCTAGGGCCTCAGGACTGTCATTGTTCAGGCCAGCTGCACAGTTCTGGGCCATTGTTGAGAGGCAGTTTTGAACAGTGGGTGACTGATGTTGAAAATGTTTCAGATTTTTGTCATTGCTCGTTAAAGGCGAAACGGGGAAAGTTTGGGACTCGCCATTGTGCGCATTCTGTGCCTGCTGCTGGGAGAGGGCATTCTGCTGGAAAACGTAGCCTTCCCTCTCCAAGAGAGCACCGGAGACGTTGCTGAGGGCTTGCTCGAAGAGGGATTTCTCTTCTTCCTCCTCCTCCACCGTTTTCTCGGGATCCTCTAGGGTCTTAAATTTCCCGTCGCTGTTCTGGTTCTCCTTGCACTGGGTCTGTCTCTTGTGCTTCATCCTCCTGTTCTGGAACCAGACTTTGACTTGTCTCTCAGTCAGATCCAGCAAGGCTGCAATCTCAACCCTCCTTGGTCTACAGAGATACTTGTTGAAATGAAATTCTTTCTCTAGCTCCAAAAGCTGGGTGTTGGTGTAAGCCGTCCTCAGCCGCCTAGATCCACCGCTACCGCTATCGGGGATTTCAAGGGGGTCTGTTAAAAAACAGAAAATAAAAAACAAAAAAGAAAAAGAAAACCACAACCACCACGCGCACCCCAAATCACCACCGCCAGAGCAGACAAAGTGAACCCAGACGCACGCACACACAAAACAGATAAATGCACGGGTTGAGTTTCAGCACCCCAGCACATCGCATCCCGGGGGGGGGGGGGGGGGGGGGGGGAGGGGAAGTGCTCTTTCTACACGTATGTGTCTATATCTATATGTCCATATAGCATAAAATAGCAACTGCAACAAAATGGCCGCCTTTGGACGCAGTAAAGCCATTGTGTTGCAGTGCTGAGTGCCTGGTGCTGCGTGCCCCTCGGCCACCTCTGCCAAATCACTGCATCCAGCTACCCAACCTCCCCACACCAGAGCAAACTTTATATTAGCCATACCGCAATTTATAATTAATGCATCAGCTGCTTAGCTAAGCGGGAGCAATCTATCACTCTTCATTACTGTCAAATATCCTAACTCTAAGACGGCGAGACAAGAGAGGTCAGCTCCAACTCAAATAAATCATCCCGCATTAAGCAACTTGGGGGAAAGTTTGGGTTTCCCGCTAGCCCGGCCAGCGCCATCCTCCCGCCCGCCCGCCCCTCCGCCTCGTCCCCCCGCGAAGCCAGGGAGATGCGGGGAGCCAAAAAAAGCGGCCCAGCGGGGCCGGCGGCGAGTCTTTGGACTGACCTTTGTGGCTGAGGCAGGCAGGTCCGGCGGCTGAGGAGGAGGCCGAGGCGGGCGGCAGCGAGGATCGCTTGGACGCCTTTTTCTCTTTCATCCAGGGGTACTCCGGCTGCGGCGGGGCGCCGGCGGGGCCCGGGCTGCCGCTGCGGCCGCGGGGGCTCGCCTTGGGGCGACCGCCGCCGCTGTGGCGAGGGTGGCTGCCGGGGTTCAGGCTGGGGATGGTCTGCTCGAAAGGAGGAGGAATCAGTGTCGAGTGTGAAAGCGTCGAGTTCTTGATTGATGAACTTTGAAATGTATCACCGACAGGGGGAAAAGATGTCAGGCACTCAGCAAGCGATGGCTGGCTATTGATAAAACCGATCTCTCGCTCAAATGCGAAATTCATGGCCTTCAACTGGCAGCCCCCGCGGAGAAAAAGTTCGCTCGGATTCAGGGGACTCGGGGGGGGGAAGGCCCAGGAAAAAGGAGAGAGAGGAGAAAAAAATATAGCATAGAAGATCGCTGGTGGGGTGTTTTTTTTCTAATTCACTGATTACAGCCGTATGGGGACCGTGCTACTATTAAACTATTGAATTCATGGAGACAAGGTTGAAATTGGACCGAATTGGCTGTCACATGATTGCCTCTGCCCAATGACAATTTGGGCTTTAATCAAAAGAAGCCACTGTCTGTTTGATTGATCCAAAAAAGTCGGGAAGGAACGCCTCATTGGGGGCCAGAAAGGATTTATTTACACTTTTTTTAAAGTGGGAAATGATATCTCGAGTATCTATCCCCTTGGCGTCCTAATCTGAAATGATCGGGGGGGGGGGGAGAGGGGGGGAAGGGTGCATGTGCGTGGATATGTTTGTGTGAGAGGCTGCGAGTGTGTGTGAGTGTGTGTGTGGCTGCTTGTCCTGCAGCCTGCTGCCTCCCTCGCCTCCACCCGCACACTCTTCTCTCATTGTTTGGGACTGTCAGGAAAACGCTTTGCACCTCACAAATCATTTAAGCACCTCAATCTGACACCTTGAGTCATTAACAAAGTAATCCATTAATCTTCAAAGTTTTGACACCGCCAGGCCCCCGCATAAGAAGTTGCACCAAGACTGGACTCTGAAGCAGAGTGTCTTGATTTTTTCTTCCTAGGAAAAAATGGCACTTCCTCTAAAACTAGTTTCTTCTTCCAGACCTAGTCTCGATGGGCTCCTTTTTCTTCCCGTGTGGGGTTTTTGGTTTCTTTCCTTTTTTTTTTTTCTTGTTTGTTTCTTCTTATCTTTCTTTCTTTGTGTTTTTTCTTTTTTTCCCCTTTTTTTCCTCCTTTTTTTTTTTTTTTTCCCGTTTTTGGTGGCTATCGGGTGTACAGTACGGAGAACAATTGGCCGCCGGTGATGAGCCATTGTTTAACAGGATCTTCCTCAGCAACCTTGCTTCTAGGGGAAGAGTCACATAGGCAGCAGCCCTTGTACTTCATGACTTCCATCTCCAGTTGGCTTCCAGGGATTGGACCGTAAAACATAACCCTAGGAGTACCTCTCTGGGCGAGCCAAATCGCGAGTCTGAAAACTCGTCTGGCTGTTGCCTCTTTAAAAAAAAAAACAAATCCTGTGCCTTAGCTTGCAAACGATATTCCCGTCTGCTGCAATAATTTGCTTAATAACCGTAGTAGGCTGGCTCTGGTGAGTATTTTCGATTACCAGGAAATATATGGGCTGGTAGCGGGTTTGTTTTCACGGGCCAGGCTGAGCGCAAATGCTGCGGGGTTGTGACTTGAGAGACGGGCGGGCACTCGCTACCTACGCTTGGCTCTCGCCGCCGCCGCCTCCTGTCGCCCCTGCTAGATCGAGGGAACTCCCGAATTTGGATGCCTTGGGCACAGTTTTCCGACCAGGCTGAGGGAGAACGATGACAATGCTGGCCACAGCCACCAGCCTGATGAATCTTGCGGTCGCAGCCGCCCCCGGCAGCCCGGATGGGACTTGCCTTCCCGTGGAGCCGGGGGGCCCGGCGGGGTGGGGGGCGCAGGGGCCGGAGAGGGAAGGAGCTTCCGAGCCGCTCTTCGTGTTCTCCAGGAGCCAGGGACCATCGCCAGGGCGATGCCGAGCCGCCTCGCTTTATTTTCGGAGCTGTCAAAAAGGGGTCAGCAACAGTCTTCGTAATTTAAAAGAAAAAAAAAAAAAGGATGGAAGAAGGAAATGGAAGAGGGGGGAAAAAAGGAAAAAACAAGACCCCAGGCACTCAGCGGATCAGCCTGCGTCCAGCCTGCACGAAGTGCATTTTAAAAATCGGTTTTAAGTTAATGCACCCACAAGATGTAGCATATCTGCGAAGGCATTGGAGAGAGGGGGAGGGGAGTGGCCGGGAGACTTTAAATGGGCTTTTTGCTGGTTGCTTGTTTAAATAAAATATAGAACGAGACTTGTCATTTAATCCCTCAAAAGGGATGCCTTACAAATATCGATGCTGTTGGAAAATGCAAGGGGTTTAATTTTCTTGCTTTTAGTCCAAACAAAGCTCTGGTGGTGCCTGCGCGCGATCAATCTTGGCCGCCAAAAGGTTTGACAGCTACTGGCCCTTAAGAACACATTTAAAGCTTCTTGCTCTTTCCAAGATCAAATGTGGCCGAGAAAAGAGGCAGAGCAAGAAACGCAAGTAAACAAGGAAAAAAGCTGCTTTTAAAATATGCTGGCAGAGGACTGGGCTGCTTGTGGGAAAAGTCCGGTTTTATTTTGCTTCTCAGCGCCTACCTCGGGGTCAGGCTTTTCTTTTCTTTAATTTTTTTCTTTTTTTCCTCTCTGGAAAATATTGGGATTAACAGCAGGATGACAAAAAATAAAGAGAGAGGTTTGGACTATAACCAGGCTTTGTGAGTAAAACCTGTGTGGGTGTCTCTATTCTGCACATTTGTTTCTTTTGGTCAGTCTAATACAAAAACCACCTGGAACAAAAAACCTTTGGAAAGAGGACGCGAAATTCTTGGGCAAATCGATTACTGCTGCCTCCAGAGGGATCTTTTAATCGGGCGAATCTTAAATGCAAAAATACAAATTCTCATTCGCAACCTGGCGGTTGAACATGGTTTCTGTAAAGAAGGGAGAAAATCGCTTGTATTTTATTTTCTTCCGAGTGGGGAGAGGGGGTAAAACGCCAAATTCCTTCTCTTTGGACATTTTCCTAAACGTACTTCGTGCTTTTAAAGGATCCCCACAGTAAGAATCACCGGCTGTACTGTTACCTTTTGTTGTATCTAACCTAACTGCTCCGATGGGTGGGGGGCCGGCTTGAATTTTATAACGGGCACTCATTTGAAAAGAGCAGCTTCTTGCAATGTTGCAAAAATGCTTCCTTCGCCTGCAAAACAATAATCAGTCATTGGTCTGTGTTGGGTAATAATCAGGTTTCAATGAAAAATATCAGACTACATAACCTTTCGTTCCACGGTTACATATCTATATACACAATAAACAGCACGGTATAAATATATTTGCAATCCCTTTCTCTGACTGAGCATGCTTTATCTATTTATGCAGAAAAGCTCTATATAGATTCATGGATGCATGACAAGGCTTCAGCATCAGGCAATGATGGTTCTGGGAACAAGATAAAGCCCAAAGATTAATAATATTTCAGCATGAGACCAAAATGGCGACATTTTTTTCTGTGCTTTAAATGATACAGATGGTGAACAGCGTGTGTTATTATCTCACAGCATAGGAATATGTCTTTATATACGTGCAGGGGTATATTTTACCTAGTCTATTAAGGTCCATTTTGATTTATCTCTCAAGTTTCAATCTAAATATTACAGACATTTCGCATGAAAGGAAGAAAAATCGCATTTAAACACACGCTGGCTAGTTTCTGCCTTCCACATCGAGCCGACTCGGACAGGGGACCCCCGCCGGTGCCCGTTTGGGGCCGGGACAGTCGTTCTTGTGTAATACCGTGTTCCCACACACACCGTAGACACGCACACACAAGCACACACATCCACACGCATGCACACCCCCGCGGGAAGAGAGGGAACACAAGGCTCCCCTCCCCCACAGCTTCAGGCTGCGGTGGGAAGGGAAGAAGCTCAGCAAACACGAAATCACCTCAAAATAGAATGAAAAATAATAATTAAATATAAATATATGTATTTAAAGGAAAAAAAAATTAAATCCGCTTTAAAGAAAAGGGTCAAAACGGCTGCGGGAGTGGAAGGAGTCGTGTCCGGAGGCAGCGATGCTCGGCATCCATCCCCTTTAGCAGAGGCCCTGCCACACCGTCTTTCCTCCCAAGGGCTGGGGGGGCTCCGCCGCCCAGCTCCCTTCTTTCGCAGCGGGCGAGCCCGGGGCCCGGCGGCACTTCAGCACCCACGCGGGGCTTTATCCGGAGCTCTGTTCCCTTGTGTTTCATTCACAGATACACATACCCGGCCGGCAGGCCCGCCGGGGAGCCAGCGGAAGCTCCGCGTGCTGCACCAGGGACTGTCTCCCCCGGAGCCCCGGCGAGGGGGCCATCAGCGCCCGCCTGTTTTCCACGCCGGGCGGGCACAGCGCAGCGGGCGCAGGAGGAGGCGGCCGCGAAACCCCGCTGGGAAAGGGAGAAAAAAAAAAAAAAAAAAAAAGAAAGGTGTTGTTTTTTTTTTTTTCCTAAAGAAAAGGAAAAAAAGAAGGGGAAAAACCATCCTTCTCCCTGCCTATAAAATGCTGAAAAGGCATCGCGAAGCCCTTCGGGTGAGTGAACGGATCCTCGTGTGAGCTTCCAGACGAGTTTCCCAACTCCCCATGTCATGTAGGGCTCTCCCTTCCCTTGTGCTGTGAAGAACATGTTCTTAACTCTTTATTATTCAGAATAAAAACTTTATTTTTTTGTTTTGCTTTTTTTTTTTCTTTTCCCCAGAACGTGAGCAGCAAGGAATGTATAATTTTCAAAGCAAATTTAGCCTTTTCAGCTTCACACGCTTCCCGCCTAGCTGGATGTTACAAGCATAAAGTATTGAAACCGTGATCTTTTTTCCCAGATTTTATTGCATCGTCATCATCATCGTTATCACCATTTTTAATAAAAGGAGTTATAGTTTCCTTTCAAATGCTACTTCCAACGCTTGCCAATATGCCATCTAACATATGGCCTGGTAAATACCTCCTGAATATTCAGGGTACAGATTTTTTATATATATATAAATATGAACAAATGGGGATAAATAAAATTTTAAACACTTAGATTATTCAATGTTTGCAAAAAAAAAAATAAATAAATCTGAATGTTCACCAGCATACACACATTGAAAGACTTACACGTATTAATAATTGTCCAGGGAGTCCCTGTCCAAGCGCTTTTGATGTCTTTCTTGCTATTTAAAAGAAGTGCAATAAAAAAAATTGCTTCCCCGTGGGATCAATCATGTACGAACAAATTCACATTAAGAATTCCTTTTATAGAAAATTTGTTCATATACCCTGTTTTGATAAAAGTGTAGAAGGTAAAGTATAAAGCCTCTGCATACTCCCAAAGTGAGACACAAGGCTACAGTTCAAGAAGATAAATATCCACTAGTGAAACTATAGAGCAATTCAAGCAACAAATATTGCTACGTCACATAAACTAGAAAACGCTTTTACCAAAGGAAACAAAACCAACCAAAACAAACAAAAGAAACGAGAAGGGGAGGGCACATGGTAGGGGGAGGAGAGAGAAGGGAAGGGATGAGTACTCTCCAAATGCTGGGGGCTTGGTGTTCCACTTAGTGACTCCTGTCTCTTACAGATGGGTGAGTTTGGGTGCTTCCTGAATTCTTCCCTGAGAAGGATGGTGAGCGGTAAGGTCTGTGTATGTTGGGTGCGGATCACAAGGTCCATGGTGGTGATTGTTGGCCATTGGCCCAGCCCCGCTGTAGTCCATGTTGGCAGAGGGAGGAGGATGAGGGAGATGAGTTAGACCAAAGATGGAAGGCCCAGAATTGGCCATGGTCTCCACGTAGTTGCCCCCTACATAGACGGGGCTTCCCTGTATATGTGGATTCCCATAACCATTACCTTGAAGAGGATGAGTATCATATTCAGGTGTCACAGCTGCTGTCCCCGTGTATCTCTTTTGAGGAGGCGGGCAATTATTAAGAGGAGCAGTATACGATGCAGGGATGCCATAGGTGTTTTGATGAGGCTTGTTAAATGGCGGAGGCGACTGGGGCTCATAAGGGACACTGTTTACTAAAGAATGCATAGAGTTTAGATATCCCCCAGCAGCTGGAGGGACGGGGCTTCTGCTTGGGGACTGTCCTCCTGAAGAGGTCATCATGCCCTTGCCCTTTTGATCCTTTTTGTATTTCATTCTGCGGTTCTGAAACCAGATTTTGATCTGTCTTTCCGTGAGATTGAGCAAATTAGCCATCTCTACCCTTCGTGGCCTGCAAAGGTACCTATTGAAGTGGAACTCCTTTTCCAGTTCTACCAGCTGGGCACTTGTGTAAGCTGTACGGGCTCGCTTAGAGGAGGCTTGCCCTGGAGGGCTTTTATCACCAGCACAACTCTCACCTATGTAAATCACACAAAGAACACAATCAGCACGGTGCACCCCAACACAAGAACCACAGACAATAGCCAACAACACCAGCACCTGGAGAGTCCAGCTCTTGGACATGAGATGGGTGCACATGTATGCAATGAGTACTCTCCCCTATAGCATGACCTGTCATGCCAAGCTATAAACCTCAACAGACCTCCTTCACCTCACTAGCAGCACTATATGACTTTTAAGAATGGCAGCATACAATGTATCTTGAGCTTTGCATAAAGGAATAGGAAAAGTTTAAGGAAACACAAGTGGAGTTTAGTAACCTTGAAGGTGAAACTATGGCTCTGCTCACGTGGTGGGATCAGGGTCTTCAAGAACTAGCTGTTCTCCACTGCTGTAAAGACCTGCTGCCCTCTTTCTCTGAAAAGCCTGATCTATACATATCATCCACAGATGCCTGAAAGCTAGGTATCTACAACATAACATTACAACATATAAGCATTAAATTTACAGTATAGCATTTCTGTCATATCTAGCATATAGCATAAACATATGGTAGTGATTGGAAACATAGATAGATATACATAGAACATACAGTGGCTAGGCTTGCATATAGGCACACAGACATATTTACATGTTATTGCTTTTTAATAAAACAAATATATGATATGGAAGGCTATAAACAGCACTGTTACCAGGGCTTTAAAAAGCAGACTGGCAAAGACATTTGCTAAAGTTTTGAACTCTATTTTAAAGGCACATTTAAGGAAAAGGGAGGAAGAGGTTAATATAAGTCCAACTCTTAGGCATTGGAGCTACCACTGGTGTTATCGATTTGGGTTTCCTCAAGTAATAAACGTGTTAATATACACTTCCCTCCCTCAAATAATATTTTATGGGCTGAAGTTCATGGCATTCTGGAATGATTTTTGTTTACAAGGCTTGTAACTTTGCCAATCAGCTTGTTAAAATAGGAAGAAGTTCTGACTGCGTGCAGGGCATTGATCCTGCCTGCATGTGATTATGAGCTATTTTATTCTTGTTACACTTCAGCAGAGATAGGTCACTGTCTTATTAATCTAAGAGCTCCATGCCAACAAAGTACTTGGGACAGGCCTCTGGCTTAAGGCCTGGGCTGTTCCACACTGAGATGATTTACTAGAGGGGGGATTACATAAGAAATGTGATAGATGCAGGAAGGCACAAGTGGCTTAGCCATAGGAAACAAAATCACTTCAGACCCATCCTGCAAAGCTGGGAAAGCTTTGCAGGGAGTGGTTTGTTCCCTAAGCTCCCCTTGTGAGTGGTGGCAACCCCTTTCCACAAGCTTGAGGGGGTCAACTTGGAGAGGAAAAATGCCTCCTCCTTTCCCTCCCTGAAGCAAAGGTGAGCAGGGCTGCCCTCCTCCCTGCTGGATGGGTGGCCAGCCCAGGGGTACCCAGAGAAAGGGGGGAGCATGTTTCATACCTGAACTGGAACTGCTGTTTTTCTGCTTTGTGTTTTGCCGAGACTCTTTCATCCATGGGAATATCTGTTTGGACATGGTGGGCGAGTTAAGAGCTGCGCTCTTCGTGGGATTGGCTGGGGCAGGGTTGCTGCTGGCATTTTGAGATGGTGAGACAGAGGATGGAGGTGGAGGCTGTGCCTGCTGGGCTGGAGCTGGCTGCGGTGGGGCCTGTGGGTCGGCAAGGCCAGGGGGCTGGAGAGGCTGGCTGGGAAGGGTCCTCATGCAACTCTCACTGATGTCATTGGCCTTGTGGTGGGACACAGAGCTGCCGGGCGACTGGAGAGAGCACGCGGGGCGGTGGTACTCAGTTTCCACAAGTGATGAAGATGGAGGATATTGCTGCTGACTCGCATTATAAGTGAAACCATTTGCTCCTTGGTAGGGGTAGGCACCATAGATTGCAGAGCTGTCGTAGTAGGTCGCTTTTTGCATTTCGTTGTTTCCCAATATTTATTTCGCAAACTGACAGGGTCTTGACACCCTCGGAGAATAACATTGGCACCCCTCTGTCACGTGGCGCTCTTCCTCCAATGGCCTCTCCGGGCAGACCTGGGGTGTGGGGAGAGCAGAGCAGGGTGAAGAAATGGTACAAATCCATCTTACTTTCAATAGCTAAGTGACATGAAAGCCATAAAAGAAAAAGTGGTCAGCAATATTTAGCAGCATGACTTGGCCTCAGGCGCAGAACATTTCGATATAAAAGCTGCCTGGATTTACTGGCAGCTACAAATATGTGCTTTGCTGCACTGGGATAGGGGCTTTCTAGGGTATTTTCTTGCTTCTTACGAAACAGCACAAGAGGGTTGATCATTTGTCACTGAGAGGCTGTTTTAGTACCAGTCTCTGAGGTAAAGGTGATCGAGGAATCGGTAATGCAAAGGGGATGGGTTGTTCCTTCATTCCAGTTCTAGGATCAAGCCCTCTCCTGTAACCGGCATTGTTTTATTTTCTCTCCAGGTTATGGCTCTCCATACAACTTCAAAGAAATACACGGGATTGTTCCTGTCTACATGTGCCAGGGGGCAGGAGCGGGGTGGAAAGGTTTCCTAGCCAGGGATATTTAAACACACCGATCCTAAGCGACAGATTTCGGCTTGGCTATGAAATGCTCGATGGTAAAATAAACAAAGCCAGCGCCTTCTCCCCTCTGCGGTTGCACACCTCCCCGAGCCTCCCGGGTCTCGCACCCCGGCAGAGACGGCTCCAGGCCGGCCCCGAAGTAAGGCTGGGGCCGCCCCGCGCAGCTGCCCGCCCGCTTCCCACCAGCGAGTGGGGCCGGAGCCCTAGCTGCACCTAGAGCAGGGCGAAACCGCCTCGGCCAGGCCAGCTGGGCAGGTTGGGTGCTCGGGCGGTAGTTGGTTTGGGCTTTTGTTTTCAACAGTTATTTTCAAGACACCAACTTTCCGTGGAATCAGCCAGATCCTACCTGTTAAAACATGATGGATTGGGGAAAAAAAAAACACACCAGGAACCTGAAAAACCAGCGTTCATCTCCATGACCACGGCCTGAACTTTTCTTCCAACTTAGCGATAATAGGTTCTGTCTTGGAAACTGCTATGTAATTTGATGTATGAGGGTCACTTGGCTAGGGAGAGGGTGGACACAAACCCAGAGAATGCTTTTCCTGCCCGGGCGAATCCCTTTCTCTCCCCTCCTCTTTTGTCCCCCGTCTTTCTTTCTTTATGGATTTGTTTATTTTTTCCCCCACCAGGTTAAAGTCTACAGGTCACCTGCCTGGAAATAACCAGTTAAAGAATCTCCTGCATTCATGAGAGAGGAGACCTGTGCATAGTCTCCTATCTAGGAGCTCTTTCCACACGCGCTCACGTTCTCAGAAATTAAAGTGTGTTCCTTACCGCCCCCCCCCCCCCCTTGCTGACAAACAACCACGTCTTTTCGGATCAGAAGAACTCACGTTTCTTTTGCCACTTTCCCTGTACTTAACCAGCTGGATACTTTTCCCCCAAACATCTAACGAGGACAAATGCTTAGGGGCGAAAAACCTTACACAACACATGCACCAAACGAGCTCATTCTACGCCTTTCAAGTTATACAAGTTCTTAGAAAACAGTATTCCCTTTGTTAGATCGTAACAAAGTGAAGGTAACACACCTACAGCAGGGCGGCTACCCTGTCATTGCACTAATCAAGCTCTTTGGATGTTATCGAGCTAATAAAGCAATGGAGATCTGAAGAGCGCGCATAATTTCCAGCTCCTCGCCTCTTCTTCCTGATGCTATCGAGGCCTGGTGTGATTTTTCTCAATTCCTTTAAAAGAGAGAATATAGGCATCACTACCAGAGGAGAAAGAGGAAATAATGAGCCAGCAGTGATTTTACAAAGGCACCTGACTTTCATGATCGCGACATCAAATATTTCGTCTCCCCTGCCAGCTGGGAAGTCTGCCGGTGCAAGCAGGGAAGGCAACACTGAACCGGGATGCGGGACGCGGGACGCGCTGTTCCCGCAGCCTCCTGCCCGCAGACAATGGGCAACCTTGCTCCGAAAGCAAAAATATTATTGAGGCTTCGGCAGCCTGCCAGCAAGAGGGGAAAAAAAAATAGCAATAAAAAAAATCATCAGCTACCGCCTTTGGCTTCGCCAACTTAATCACTTCCTACAAAGTTCTGGAGGAGCAGGGGTAACCTGAGGAGCGCCCGGCCATTCCTGGCGAAAGCGGGAATAGCGGGATTAAGAGCGACAAGGATCGCTGTAATAATAGCGACCTAACGGGAGAAGGGGAGCTTGGGGGGGAGTCTGTCACCTCAGCCGGTGCCCGGGATGGGAAGAGCTCTCCTTTCCCCTCGGAGACAAAAGGCCAAGTCTCACAGACACATATGGGCCCCCAATTTTTGCAGGGCCCACTTGATAGGATCCATCTCTACTTGTGCAATACACCTCTCGGCCCTTCACCAACTTCTCTCCCCCCACCCTCTGCCTGGAGACAGAGATGAAAGCTGCTTGGGGACGCAAGTGCCCCCGTTTCCCCCGCACCCCGTTTAAGCTATTCCCTACCCATCTCTTTCCCTCCACCTCCCCCCTTCCCAAGCACACCTCATCTTTGCCCTGTAAGCCCCAGCCGAGCCCCAAACTCTGACTCTAGGACAAAAAAACAGGCAGCCCCCCTGAAAGATTTCCTGAAAGATAAAGACAAAGTTGAGAGAAGGAAGGGGGGGGGGGGGGGGCCGGGGGACGGGGGGGGAAGACAGGAGAGAAAGCTGCCTGAACACGAAGTGTAAGGGTATCAGTCACTGCCTGGAAGGAAGCCCCAGCTTGTGAACTCTTCTTGAACCGACATTTAAGTCTACGGTCATAAATCACTGGGACATAAACTCCGCCATTCACGACTGATAGCAGCGTATTTGTGGCCTGCTTACCTTAACTTCTGACGACTGAGGCGGAAGCCAGCATGCTCGCTCTCTCCCTCGCCCTCTCTCTCTTTTTTTTTTTTTTTCCTTTCAATTTTTTTGGAGCCGACACGACCCCAGGAGCAGGCGCTGCCTGCCACGGCCCGGTCCCTGCGGCCACGGGGTGGGCACCGGCTCAGCTTCTCCGCACCCGGCACCCCCCAGCCTGCCCCGCACGGGATGGGGACGGTTCCTCCAGACACCAGCCTCCCCTGCTCCCCTCCTGCTCCAGGCTGCCCACCCTGCTGCGAGCCGGTCCCCTGCGTGCCGGGTTCCCCCTGAGCGGGGCACGGAGGATGGGGATGTTTCCCAGGGCTTCTCTGGGAAGGGATGGAGAGAAAGGGAAGGAGAAAGGGGGGTGTGGGGGGAGTGGAGTGGGTAAAAAAATAAGTAAAAAGGAGAAAGGGAAAAAAAAAAAAAAAGGAAGGAAGAAAGAAAGGCTGCCGACTGGGGAAGCCTGGGGCAGGGCGGGGGCTGGGGAGGGAGCGGAGGAGCGCAGCACTGAAGGAGTGCGGCCCCCCCGCACCCGGGCGTCACCGAAGTCTAGGAAAATTATGCTAATGAAGACAAACGGCGCTCACAAAGGGTCGCTCGCTCTCACCAGGCTCCGGGGGTGCTGCCGAGGGGGGGGCTTGGGTTTGTCCCTCTTACCGGTGGGCTTGGGGGGCGTCTGCGAAATAGCTCCTCTGCCGCTCCCCTCCTCCGGGAGCCCCGCAAAGCCCCTGATGAGTCCCGGGGAGGAGAGCAAAGCCCGGAGAGCCGGGGCTGGATTGGGAGAGCAAACCGAAGCCCACCAGGATCCCCGCTCTGGGCAATGCTTCCAGAGCCACGCTGGAAATCATTAGAGTTACTAATTATTAACTCATGCATGCGTGAGCGCACAGGCACACAGATGTACATACAAACACCCCTCGACACCCCCCCCCCCCGCCAAACATCCCCAGCTCCCGGGACGGGCACAGAAGCGCTCACACACACACACACACACACACACGTGCTGCACAGGCGATCCGGGTGCCCGCAGCGGGGAACCGTGGGGAGCAGTCCCGCGTGGACGCGGGCCTGGCGCCGAGCAGATTCACCTCCCGCTCATCGGCAGAGCTGGGAAGGGCGCTCAGCAATTCCTCCAGCGCCCTGGGTTTTGGGGGGGGGTGGTGGTGTTCACTCCCCCCTTTTTCCCTGCAACAGAATAACGGCAGCAACCGTGCAAACGAGAACTTAAATAAAGTTGCAGCCCCTGCCCCTCTGGCAAGCGGTAACAGGACTGTGGGCTTCGTGCATTCAGCGGAGGCTCCGGATAATGCCTAGGTGTAAATTTGACGTTACTTCGTTAATTAAGGCATTACAAATATAAGTAGTGCGGTTAAAGCACGAGGGAGCCCGGCGTCATCTTAAAGCACAAACAAAGCGAGAGGGAAGCGAGAAATAGAAAGCACTATAAGGCTGGGGTGGCCTCTTACGCATACCAATGGTTTTTGTCATTTATGGCTATGCAAGATTTATGACTTCATGCACCAAAGCTGTAAACAGAGCACTAAAACAGAAAACACTTGCTCCTTATGGCATAAGTGAGAAGGCACCACATGAAAGGGGAAGCAGGGAGCGTAGGAGGAGAGGCAGAAATCCCGCGTATGCGTTTTGCTTCAAACAACCCCTTGAATGTTGCATCGGAAGAAAAAAAAAAAAAGTCTTTTTAGTCAATAATCAACCCCACACTTTCTTCTGAAACTGCTGATCGGCCAGTCGCCCACTTGCCCGACCAAATAGCGAGCCGCAGAGCTGCGCCCCGACGGAGTCCCCGGGCTGGAAAGGAGGATTTGGAGAGGGAAAGCGAGTCCGGGACTGCAGGAACCTGCGGCCGCCGGGGACCCGCCGATGTGGGGAGCCTGCCGAGAGCCTGGGCCACCTTTTCCTGGGAGCGTGTTTAAACTTGGGAGCCGACTCCAGCAGGATACTGTGACTACATGTCTGTATTTAAGAGCGGGGAAGGGGGGGGGGGGGGGGGGAAGGGGGTCTTTCTAAAATTGAAGGATTTGCAAGGGACTTTAATCGTGAGAACCGAAGTGGTTCGTAGGAATACTGAAGTGTTTCCTCCATTCGTCTCACTGCCTGCAAAGAGTATTTTGCGAGATTTCGCCTA